CTTGATCATGCCATGCAAGCACAACTTACTGTCTTTGCCTTTATGAAGTCATCTCTATGTGCCACCTATTCAACTTCTTCTTAAGCTGCAAAAGCAACTTAATTCCAAAATTAAGATGTACTTCATGCTTCAGAAACAGGAATTTGGCTACCTACCCTGGAACAGTCTGATTGGGCAATCATTATGCCCTACTCTTTCAATAATTATGCTAGAGCTCATTCCCATCAAGCCAATGGTAAATTAACCCTGCATACCATACAACTGTAACAAGTTGAAATTCTGACTATTTTCCTACCCAAAACTTTACAACAACCAGACCTGCAAAAAGGATCAAGAGCTCAACTGATTCCAAAAGAAGAGTAAATTTCCAAGCATATTTTTCTCCCGGTGGAATTAAAACACTGGCCATAGCCCTCTCATACATGAATAAATCTACCATAGTTTCTCCTCCACCTTCCTACTGGAAACATCTCCTCCTTGATTTCACTTCCAGTAATTGCAGCCAGCAATTCTTTCCAATAGTCCTGCGTGTTGCAGTATACTATGGGCAATACTAGAGGAATCTGCTCCCTAGTCACTCATTTTGTCCTTAAATACTCTTCCAGTTTTCTACAGAAATACTGGATAGTCACAAAGAAACTCTGCTGTATTTTACTGCAGATGCAATCAGACAGGGTGCTAGATAATCTCATCTGGGCTCCCTTTCCCACAACAAGTCAGATCAGATGATCTTTCAGGGTCCCTTCCAACCTGTGCTGCCCTATGATTCTTTGAAAACAGTTGTACAGATACAGCAAGTACATGAAGCAATGGAGGACTGAAGAAACCCTAGAAAAAGATAAGAAGAAATGTTGAGCTAAAGCTGAGAAACAAAGCTATTTGAAACCAAAACCAGAATACACTTTACTGTGAAAGAGGAAATAACTGAACTTAAAGAGAGAAGTAACCAGATCTCCACTCTCCCATTTGTACAGGCTGGATAATTTAAAAGTCAAACAAAACAGAAGAGCTGAACAGAAAAAGAAAGATGAATTTTCTTGAGGAATGAGCAAAAACATCTCCAGACAAAAAACCATTTGATTGCTTTCCCCAAAATAAAGCAATGCAGGTTTTAGAATCTGGTCAGGTTTTATACAGTTTGCAAAACTAAGATGACTGCAGCAGAAAGTATTTTCAGCCTCTGTTGTCAGAATCAGTACAAGCTGGGTTTTTCTTTTTCAACAGTCATTCAGGAAACTGCAGTATACTCACTGTGCTTGACAGTAAGTAGCACGAGGCTGAGTACCTGAGAGCAGACCATTTTCAGTTCTAATGAAAACTGATTACTAAGTTCTGAATCATTGGCCACAAAGCCCTTGCACTGGTTAAATAATCCAGACTAATAAGAAGAAATCTAGTAGTAACATTTGGTGAAAGATTAGTAAAAAGACAAAACCTAGTCACACTCTCATACAGACTCTTTACTGAAAGATTTTTTTGTCTGCAGTATGCCACATGCAAATGCCAGGGCTTATAATCCGGTTCATCTCTCTCACTTCAGATACTTTTGTGTCCTCCTGTTTTGGATTGGACCCAGGCTGTAAGCCCATTTCAACACTGACCTTTCTACCAATCTCTCCTGTAAAATCTCCCATCAAAAATAATTCAGCATTTTGCTTTGGTTTCATTCCTTCTCCATCTCCCCCAGTATTATTTCAAGGAGTTGCAACAAACTTCCGATAGGTACTCTGAAAACAGGAAGGAACTGAAAAGCACTGCGACGATGTAGGTCACTTCTATTAATGAAATATTACCCAGTTTCCTCCAGGCCTCTGAGTGTCAGCCTGGACATTCACCCACAAGTCCCTCATCTTTGGATGGTAACTATGGCAAAATATTCTAGAGGTGGAAAGAGCTCTTTTGGTAGCCACTCTTAGCCAGTTACAAGCACAGTTATACGCAACTAACGTTTTGTTAAGTTTTACCACAAGTAACTACAGTCTCCACCACTCTTAGCCTGGGACACTGTCACAATTTAAGCAGTTTCATTATCAGAAAACATTTGCTCCTTACATTTTCAGCCAAAGTTCAGCCCAGTATTTTCTATTACTTTTCCTGGTAAATCCAATCCTTATAACCTCCACTTTGCTTGAATCCTTTAAATACTTGTATGTGCTCAAGGAGTAGCATAGTTTGTTATAAGAAAAATAATAATTACAATGAAGACTGTCACAGATAGGATTTTAAAATCAGGTAGAGCAGCAGGATTTGGAAGCTGTTAAGAAAGAGGAGAAAGGGCATGTAGGGA